ATGAAATCATGTAAATTTAGTCAGATGAGATTATTTTAATTACCTCATTAGTAATAATACGCGCAGGCTCCACAACCAAAGTTGTATTATCGACAGCAATAGTTGTGTTTTCGTGCATTTTCGATGAGGCCCCTGAGCCTTTAACATATAAACAAACAAACTGAATTAATTAGAAAGATTAAACAAGGGACAAAAAAAAAAACTTCAACATTGTCATCAATCCATCATTCTCTAAAGAGTTTGAAGAGATCAATGATCAAACCTTCTGCAGATGGTTTATTGTTCTCCAGTGAACTGGAGGCTTCATTGATGCCAATTGATTCAGGACAGTTTTCGGAAACAGAATCCTTTAGCACTTCTTCTCCCTTCCTAGAGAACCTGAACAACGTAACAAACGTGTGTAATGTACATGATTTTGAAGCCCATCAAAAATTTTGTACCAATGCAATCAAGTTATTAAAACATCCAACATATAAGAATGAGTAATATATTGAATGAGCATGGAAAGTACAAGTAATTGATTGTCATGTTTCAAACAAATTTGCAGAATTGTTAGTAAAGATGGCTAGAATCCGTGAATGATGTATCAATGTAGCTATTGCGTGACCTTTTAAAAACTCGATTTGTAATTACACTATCAACCAATGCTAATTACTCATCAATACCAAAAAAATGAAATAGAATTAAAAAAAAATAAATATAAAAACTTACAGTTCGGACATATTTGTCTCCTCAGATAGCCAAGGTTGTGGATAGAGCACATTAGTGTACTCTGGATCAGCTTCTACAGGCCTCCATTCACCGCTTCCAAAATCAAATATCACAACCTCAAATGCTGTTGCAATATCAGGACGAGTCCAATTGCTTTCGAGTTCATTGTTATAAGCATTATAGGGAGGGAAAACATCCCTACCTACAACAATGCAATTGCCACTAAATCCCGGTAAGTCCATAGCAGGGACAAAGAAGCATCCATCAATAGTTGCAAAAAGAATTCTATCATTTCCGATCCCTTCAAGTTTGTCCCATTTCTTACACTTTTCATTTAGCTTATAAACCTCAAACACAACATTCATGTACATAGGACATCTAGTAACTAGATAAAGTTCGCCAAAAGACTCAACCAAACGTTTCTTCCAGCAACCTTGTAAACCCTCACCAGGCGTCTTATCCATGGCTAAAACCTTCCCCAACACGCCGTTGTCCACCCAATACGTTCTTCCTCTACGATCAACAGCACACACCCTCCCTCTAAAATTCACAACATCATCGAATTTTTTAAAACCATGACCATGTAAAGGCGACATAACCCCATCACTAAGCCTTACTCTAGCCAATGTACCATATGTATATCCGTCATTATACAACATCATAAGAGAATAATCCTTAATTTCAGGGGTTTTAGTATTATTTTCACGTTCATTTTTATTAGAACCGTCAAAAAGAATTACTTTATTAAAAGTACGGGAATTTCTATTCCTTATATTCAAATCAGAATGTTCAGGAACAGCAGTAAGAGTATAAAGTGTACTGATTTCAGACACACGAAATCGAGTTAAATCCAAAGTTTGAGGGAAGTTCTCAGGCAATGTAGTATAATTATATCGACTTAGGGGTGTTCTGAGATTAAGCTTACCAGGAATAAACTCCTCAGCAGCAAATAAAAAAGGCGGATTGTCAGGATTTTCAGTAGTTTGAACCAGAAAAACAGTATTCGCAACCAAAACCAGGTGTTCGTCCGCCAAATATAAAGGAGGATGCTTGAATTCATGAGCAAGAAAAGAGGGTGAGAAATGGAAAGGTAAATTTTGGGATAAAATGTTGTCTTTTTCATCAAAGCGAGACAAAGGGGCTTCACCCTGCCATGTCTTGCAGACAGCCCTGAACCTGCAGAACTCTGATCGAGTTTCGAGGCGATTGGCGATATCTGATAAGAGTTCAGGAGGAGTATCAGTCCAACAGGCTTTCTGGCGACTTATTTTCTCAGCCGCCATTAACAGGGATTCAGTTTCAGGCATTCTCTGAGAGTTTGTGAAATGGTTGCTTGTGAGTTGAGAGTTTGTGAGTTTGGAGTGCAGAAGAATGTTTTTGGTCAAATGTTATTTATAACGGTAGCATTATTACATTATTATTACGTTATTACATTAGCTGTTAAGGCAATGATAATATTTACCATATCAGGGTGGAAACATGTTTAATGTTTTTGTCTAGTCATCCTTTCTATCCAATCGACAACGTTTATATACAGCCCGGTCTATATAAAAATAGGTACACCTAAGAGTGGTTTTTTCTCATTTAATACTATAGTGATTTTATTTATTTATATATTTATATTTATTTTTGCTTATTCTTATTTTAAGATTTTAAAATGAGCCGAATTTTGCATTTAGATGTATATATAAATTTTTTATCAATCAATTTTGATATCAATATCTCAACAGATCTTGATTTGATTTAATTAATAACGTTCTCTCTTATTGGAAATTAGATTGTTAGAACACAAATAAGTGAAAACAACGCAATTATCCTCTCCTCTCCTCTCTCCCTCTCTGCTAGGGTTTTCTAAAAGTTTGGCCGTTTAGGCCGGAAATAGTCTAATTTCTTCGAAAATTAGACTATTTTCGACCCTTTTCCCTTGTTTTTCTTTGATTTTGCTTTTTAGGTTTCAATAATTCCCCACTTGTGGGATTTTTGGTTTGTTTTATTTTTGTGTGTGTTTATTTCCTAGATTTTAACCTATGGAATTTAGGGCTTGTTCATTAACAAGGACTGATGCGGGTTTGCAAGGCGTGTCAATTCGGCGGGCACATGAAGATGGATCAGAGGGTAGGTTTCTCCATGACTACATACGCAAAGGCAAAAGCTGTTCCATAGATAGTCTCTCGTGTGATATGAAAGCCTGTGGCGATATTAGCGGGGAACGCTCCCCCACGGAAATTCTATGCGGTGTCTGTAGTGTTGATGAAACAATTAGCCTTTGATTTATTTTGTAATGTTCTTGTTGGGGTTGAATGTCTTTGTAGATGTCGTATGACTTTCTTATTAATGGATTTTATCTTTCTCAAAAAAAAAAAAAAAAAAAAAACACACAAATAAGTAGATATATAGTTACCAGCATCGGAATTAAGCCTAAAAGTTTATAAGTACGAATTTATTACAAGAACGAACATGTACTTCAAAAAAAAACAGTAAGTCTTTCATCGAAAAAGCTATTGGTGAAAGTTTATAATAATGCAAAAGAAAAGACACGTGTATGTATAAAATGTGCCCTGTATACGCACGTGTTAAAAGTTCATAATGGCATGATCACAGCTGAAACAACATACATCACGCACATAACTTGCTGACATAAGATCTAATATACTTGATAAATTTGGGAATCATAACTTGTTGGATCTTGGTATGATTTCCCAATCGAAATTCTCTTTGAACAAATAAAATATAGATATAAATAATCGACTTACCATAAGATGAAATAGGTTTGAAGTCTTCTTAATTATACGCCGGTAAAATATTTGAAATATTATTGTGCATTATATGTATACATGATCTCTATCACAGATATAAAAATTTAATTTATTGTCCTTTGATTCCGATTATTTTTGATAGTTGATCGATCAACTTGAGCTAGAATTATGTTGCTAGAAATGAAGCTAAGTAATGAACTTTTTATATGTCCAAATTGGGTAGCTTGGCTTTAGATCCTCATCCTATCTTTTATTTAATATTTTTTTTAGGGTCTCTATTCCTATGGCTCCTTCGTCGAAGTTTAAAAAAAAAAGTGGTGGAACCCTAAGAATTAGAGTGATGTAATTGTTGAAGAACATTTATTGGTAGAGGTTAGAAACACGAAAGGAAAAATGACAAATGAATAGCATGTGCTCCCACATTCATATACACACGTGTTGGAATATACATGACAAAATCACACATTCACACTTGACATGTGCTACCTTACTCACTTACATATTACACCAGCACGTGTGTATATGAATGTGGGGTCGCATGCTAGACATTAGAGTGATGTATTTAATACTCAATCTATTCAATATGTCCGTAATTAATCAAATTCAAAATTTAGCAGCTTTCAAAAGTAAGAAAACAAATCTTGCCCAAAAAATCAAAAATTAACCGAAAATAAAATAAAATACCCTGTATACTATTAATAGGTCAAACAAAGTGCTTTCAAAAAAAAAAATTAATAGGTCAAACAATTGGTACTCCCTGTCAAAAGAAAAAAGAAAAAAAAGTATTCTGTATAAATAGTAAAGCTTGGTTATTAGATATCCTAATACGTTTTCACATTATATAAGATGACAAGATTAAACATAAAGATTAAAAAGGCTTGTTAAATACAAGTAATTTTTTAAATTGCAGATGTTGTCATATATGGTCAAGACGGTCAACAAGACTTACAATTACTTGTAATTGAAAAAAACCGAGCTGGTCAAATATTGTCACAACCAGAATAGCAACAATCTGAGTGCATTAAACGATACTTTGATTGTGTAATGTAACTAATGTTCATACAAGAAAGTTGCCAACTGCGCCAATTTAGCATGCTTGGTAGAGATTAATCTCATTGCGACTTTGAAATCACAAGTTCGAGCCTCATCATCAACATATTAAAGCCTAAATTAGTTAACTGGATAAATAATATAAAACACAAATCCAAAAAGATTGTAAAAGTTTACCATAAGCAGGCAAATCCGATGACAACTGAGTCCTTAGTTAAGCCCATTTCTGAGGTTTGATAAGGCTGTGACCAAAAAACGTCTTACCTGCAATCTTATGTGTAAAATCTGGCTTTGCAACTACGTGATGCAGAACGCCATTGTATCAAATTCCACAATAGTACCTGCTGCTGCCCTTTGTCTAACGTTTTCTATTCCATTCTAAAGTTTTCAAAAGGTACATTGAAGCTCTGAACACAAGTCCTCTCCTTGTGAATTGCTTCTGTCAAGGCAGTCAAAAACACTCAAGCTTTCGCAAACAGTTTTTCAGTGCTTATCTAACATCTGCTGTAAGCGACCTACTTCAGCAAGGAACTTTATTTTCATGTCTGCAACTTCGGGTTGTGACTTCTCAAACTCCTTCAGATTATCAGACAGTTTTTCTATATTAGCCATGCCTTTGTGCATTGCTATGGCCTCGACAACACAGGGAACCAACCAGCTTATGTTAAAGCGCATAAGATGAAGGTCACAAAGGGTGGAACAAAGATAATCAACTTCAGAGCTGTTCAATGGCCTGTCTTTGGTGTTTTGAAGAAGGATTACCATTTTAGCCATTGACTCCAATGCCGAAGCTACAAGATCATTGCTTCGAAACAGCTGTCCTACAAGTATGTTGCCATACTTAGCCCAGACTTTATTCAATATGGGTAGTAAATCTGCACGAACATCTACCCCTTGGAATCTTGTCTTTGAGGAACCACTTCCTAGATACTGCATAATAAAATTTGGAGAAGAGTAAATTATTGTATGAAAAAAAATAAACAATACTCAGGAAGAATGCAGAGAGTTAATACCTCAGTAGTAGTAGGCGAAAAATCAGTAACAATAGCTGTATCTGGATGCATCTTCGTTGCAATATCAAGGGTTCCAGCATCTTAAATCAGGCAAATTAAAAACAGGAAGAAATATTAAGGGAGAAACAAAACTTTAAATGCCATTCTGATATAAATGTTTAATACATCAGTGATCAAACCTTCAATAGAGGGTATCTCCTGAATTCCTGTTGAAGAGTAATAGTCTTTATCTTGTGTCTTTGCCCAAAATCCTAGTTGACAGGAGGTTTCTTCAATGCCACTTGACTCAGAACTATCATGGGAGAGATTGCTACAGGAGGTGCGCACTCTGCTCCGGTATGAGAAGCTATCATTTTGGGTTACTTTGTATTCAGGAAAACCCCTTTTTGGAAAAGAAAGAAGCACATAATTTCAAAGCTCTTTAGAGTAATTAGACCCAAGAACAAACAACTTAGCATTAAACATACATGTAGAATGTACTGTTTTTAGAGATCTTGTTTTTAATGAACATATGTCACTGCTATCATATAGGATATGCTGTCAAGGATAAGATAACCGAAGTCAAGACCTTGAACAGCATCTTACCTAAACCCTTGCTGATTTGATTTCAGAGAATTCTTATTGTTTTAGAGCAAGAGGACAATTGGTTAAAGTGTTACACTACCCTTGAATAAATTTTATCTTTCTTAAATTCAAACTCACATAATTTCATGATCTGAGAAAACTATAAAATACTACTTGAATGTACATGTCCTCAGAACACAAATAAGTTACTGCATCAATTGATCAAGAAGCAATTGAAAATAAAAACAGGAACTGTAATGCAATTTATGAAGAGTTCTAGTGGTACTAGTGGAAACTGGAAAGACAAGGCAATGTGTTTCAATAATGAACACTTGATTAGCCTAAATCCCTGGACCGTACCTCACCAATCTAGTAATCTACATTCAAGCAAAAAGCAATACGAGTGCATCTTAAACGAATTAAAAGTTAGCATGTTTGTCTAGCATAATCATCTGTAGTACATAATCTTGTTAGAAGATAGTGAGATACTTCCACAATAAACAGACCAATCAAGCTAGATTAGCTAATAAAAAAGCAGGCACACAAATGAACAATTCCATAAATTAAATTAGTACATAGGATATAATCTTACCAATTTGTATCAGAAGAAAGCCATTCATGAGATGGCCAAAACATATCAGAATAGCCTGGGAAAGATGCAACAGGACCACAGTCACCACCCACAAAGTGAAAGACAGCAACGTCGAGTTTAGTTTTCTTTTCGGTCTTGAAGATATCTCGATCAACCCTTAAAGTTTCATTATATGTAGGGAAAGAATTCCTATAAAACACAATACAATTGGCTCTCCATCCAGGCAGATCCTTCGCCGGCACAAAGAAACACCCATCTAAAGTCACAAACAGTATTCGATCATCACCAATACCTTGTATCTCATCCCACTTCCCCTGCTTCTCATTCAGCTTATAAACCTTAAAAGCAACATCAGCATAACACTCATGACTCCTATAAATCAAATACAGTTCACCACACGATTCGACAAGACGTTTTCTCCTATCGTTGGCATAACCATCACCCACTGGCTTACTCACAACATTCGACAACCCCATGTATCGAAAACTCATACAGTAAACCCTTCCTTTCCGATCAATCACATAAACCATCCCCTTAAACTCAACAATATCATCAAACTTCAAAACATGAGAATAACTCAAATGCTTCTCATTCTCATCTTTAACCCTAATTCTAGCCAAATTCCCATTACAATACAATACAACAGCAATACAATCATCAATTGCAGGTTTAATTTCACTTGGATTCTCAATCAAAACAACCTTATTATAAAAATAAGACCATTTTCTCCACTGTAAATTTCCCTCACAAACATCCCTCAACCTAATAGCATACAATCTACCAATCTCCGAAACCCGAAAACAAGACGAACCCAAAATTCTCCTAACATAATCAGGCAAATTATCGACAACATCGAAACGAGAAAGCGGGTCACGGATGAAGAGCTTACCGGGGTTCAACTCCTCGACAGTGATCAGCCATGGTGGTAACCAAGGATTAAGAGTTGATCGAAGCAGAAAGACAGAACAAGCCCCTAAACGTAATGAACAGGAAGAAACTACAGAAGGGTCTCCTCTCAGAAGCAGCAATGGAGGGGTAGTAGTGGAGAATTTGTGGGGTAAAATTGGGGAAAGTATGCTTTTCTTAGAGAGGAGAGAGAAAGTGGCTGAATTCCGCCATGTTTTACAGACTGCCCGGAACTGCAGGATGTTGGTTCGGGTTTCAAGGCGTTCGGCGATGTCGTATAGAAGCTCCGGTGGTAAATCTGACCAAGAGATTTTCCGGCGGTTCATTTTTTTATTTTTATTTTTTTGTTTAACAGAATTTCTGGTAACAGCTTTGGTGTGTAGTGTGTGTACCATATTATTGTGATTAGTGGTGCTAAACTAATTGCCCCTCAATTTTTTTGGCGCCAAAAGTTGCGTAACTAACAAAACTTTTCCCGCGCAAAAGAAACAGTTATTTTCATTTATTTTTTTTCTTTTTGACAATTAGTGTGGACTTTTTTAAATAAATTTTTTTTAGTAGAATTGACAGATCAAGCTGCAGTAGCACATTGGCAAATCTAAATTGAAGATTCCAGGTTCGAATCCTGGCTGTAGCAATATTTTTTTTATACGAAGTAAAAAGATTATGGTTTAAATAAATATTTTTTAGTATTAGAATTACAATTAGCTGCAGTAGCACATTGGCAAATCTAAGTTTAAGATTCCAGGTTTGAATCCTGGCTGCAGCAATATTTTTTATATACGAATTTTTTTATACTAAGTAAAGACATTAGTGATTTAAATCAATATTTTTAAGCAATTATAACACAATAAGCTGCAGTAGCACATTGGCAAATCTAAGTTTAAGATTCCAGGTTCAAATCCTGGCTGCAGCATTTTTTATTTTAATTTTTGTCAAATTAAAATTGTCAAGCTCAGTTGAAGCTTACACCTTCATACTACAGAACATTTCTAACAGAGTATAACTGATGATGCAATTGTATATGCACTTGTGTAGTACTGAGTAGAGTATTTGACAAAAACACGATCGCAATTTGCAAATAAGGTTACTGTCAAACTCATGTATAACTAGTACTTCAGTCTACACATATGTGCTTGTATGCAAACTAGTAGCATTTCATTCAATCCTCTAATATTTCATATCTGCTATCTAATAAAAAGTGCAACATAAAAAATATTGGAAATATTAAGAATCTCAAGACAGACTATATTTATTATTTTTTCGACACCGTACCCAACCTAAAAAATTTCTCAAAAAACGTGAATATAATAAGCCTTCAATTTTGGAATTTTGACTTTTTATTTACCGGTTTACAACTTGCACCGATTTCATTAAATCAAGTCTACCACAAACATTTATGACAACATATAATGATCATAAATGGTTCCAAACGGCATTATATGACCCCGAGATGTATCCACTAAGGCTTTTTGACATTGGGCTTTGAAACCTCCAAAATTTCTCAAAAAGTATGGATCTTAGCCTTCAATTTTTGTATTTTTTGACTTTTTTCGTCCGAAAATAAAATTGCTGAAATGTTAACAACGATCCCTAATACCTTCCGGGATTCCAATTGGGTGGGCGGAACCATCCAATTTGCCTTTAAACGACCAATTTACCGGTTTACAACTTGCACCTATTTCATTAACTCAAGCCTAACACTAACGTCTATGACAACATATAATGATCATCTATGGTTTTAAACGGCATTATATGACCCTGATATATATCCCCTAAAATTTTAAGGCTTTTCAACATCGGACCCTGAAACCTCCACAATTTCACAAAAAAACGTGGACATTAGCCTTCAATTTTTGAAAATTTTGACTTTTTCCGCCAGTGAATAAACATTGCCGAAATGTTAACCATGGTCCCTAATACCCTCCGGTAGTACAATTGGGTGGGTGGAACCATCCAATTTGCCTTTAAACGGCTAATTTACCGGTTTACAACTTACACCGGTTTCATTAACTCAATCCTACCACGAACATTTATGACAACAAATATTGATCATAGATGGTTCCAAACGACATAATATGACCTCGAGATTTGTTCCCTAGAATCGCAAGGCTTTTCGATACCGTACCCCGAAAACCTCCAAAAATTCTCAAAAGGCGTGGATAATAGTCTTTAATTTTTTATTTTTAGACTTTTTTTCGGCCGAAAATAATAATTTCCGAAATGTTTACCATGGTCCCTAAAACCCTTCGAGAGTCTAATTGGGTGGGTGAAACCATCCAATTTGCCTTTAAACGACCTATTTACCGATTTATAACTTGCACCGATTTCATTAACTCAAGCCTACCACGAACATTTATGACAACAAATAATAATCATATATGGTTCCAAACGGCATTAAATGACCCCTAGATGTATCCCCTAAAATTTCAAGACTTTTCGACACCGGACCCTGAATCCTCTAAAATTTCTCAAAAAGCGTGGATATTAGCCTTCAATTTTGAAATTTTTGACTTTTTTTTTCCTCCGGAAAAAAAATTGCCAAAATGTTTACCATGGTCCCTAAAACCCTTCGAGAGTCCAATTGGGTGGGTGGAACCATCCAATTTGCCTTTAAACGACCAATTTAACGGTTTACAACTTGCACTGATTTCATTAATTAACTCAAGCCTACCACGAACAATTATGACAACAAATAACGATCATATATGGTTTCAAACAGCATTATATGACCCCGATATGTATCCCTAGAACTTCAAGACTTTTCGACACCGGGCCCTAAAACCTCCAAAATTTCTCAAAAAGCGTGGATATTAAGTCTTCAATTTTGGAATTTTTAGACTTTTTTTCGCCCGGAAATAAAAATTTCCGAAATGATTACCATGGTCCCTAATACACTCCGGGAGTCCGATTGGGTTGGTGGAACCATCCAATTTGTCTTTCAACGGCCAATTTAATTACCGGTTTACAACTTGCACGGATTTCGTTAACTCAACCGTACTACGAACATTTATGACAACAAATAATGATCATATATGGTTCCAAACGGAATTAAATAGCCCCGAGATGTATCCCCTAGAATTTCAAGACTTTTCGACACCAGGCCCCGAAACATCCAATATTTCCCAAAAAGCGTGGATATTAGCCTTCAATTTTGAAATTTTGAAATTTTTTTCGCATGAAAATAAACAGTGTTGAAATGTTTTTTATGGTCCCTAATACCCTCCGGGTGTTCAATTGGGTGGGTGGAACCATCCAATTTGCCTTTAAACAACCAATTTACCAGTTTACAACTTGCACCGATTTCATTAATTCAAGCCTACCACGAACATTTACGACTACAATTAATGATCATATATGGTTCCAAACAGCATTATATGACCTCGATATGTATTTCATAGAATTTCAAGACTTTTCGACATCGGGCCCCAAAACCTCCAAATTTTCTCAAAAAGCGTGGATATTAGCCTTCAATTTTGGAATTTTTTGACTTTTTTTGCCCGGAAGTAAAAATTGCCGAAATGTTTACCATGGTCCTTAATACCTTTCGGGAGTCTAATTAGGTGGGTGGAACCATCCAATTTGCCTTTAAACGACCAATTTACTTGTTTACAACTTACACCGATTTAATTAATTCAAGCCTACTACGAACATTTATGACAACAAATAATGATCATATATGGTTCCAAACGAAATTATATGACTCCGAGATGTATCCCGTGTAATTTCAAGACTTTTCGACACCGGGTCCCAAAACCTCCAAATTTTCTCAAAAAGCGTGGATATTAACCTTCAATTTTGGAATTTTATGACTTTTTTTTGCCCGAAAATAAAAATTGCCGAAACGTTTACCATGGTCCCTAATACCCTCCGGGAGTCCAATTGGGTGTGTTGAACCATTCAATTTGTTTTTAAACGGTCAATTTACCGGTTTACAACTTGCACCGATTTACCGGTTTACAACGGCCAATTTAATTAACTTGCACCGAACCCGACTTGAACCGAAATTGACCCAAACTCATTTTAACCCGTCAAAATTCAAATTTAATCCAACTTGTTACTAACCTGACTTGAATTCAACCCGACACGTTTCTAACCCGACCCTAATTTAACTCAACCCTGTTACAAACCCGACCCGAAATCAACCCGACTTGTTATTGACTTGACCCAAATTCAACCTGATTTGTTATTGACTCGACCTGAATGTTACCATACCTATTACTTATCCAACCCATAAATTCAACCCGATTTGTTACTAACCCGACTCGAAATTAACATGACTTGTTATTGCCCGACCTAAATTCAACCCAAATTGTTCCTAACCCGATTTCAAATCACCTTAAATGCAATTTAGACCACCTTATTATTGTTGATCAAGGCCTTTTGTCTTAGGAGACCAAGTCGGTCCAGGCCAATAAAAGAAAGGAGCATCATCCTCAAATTTAAGAGTTTAACATAATATATATTTGTTGTATGGTCAAAGGAGATAATTATCTTCCTAAATTATAAACTATAGTTCCCTAATATATTGTCATATATATTATAGTCAAAGAAAATAATTAGTTTGATAAAAATGATAATTATCTATTTATAATTAGTTGAACCCGAATATGACCTGACTTGGAAATGACCTGGCCTGATTGTAACCTGCAAATTATTGATTTGAACATAACCCGACTTGAATCCGAGAATGATCTGACTTGGAAATGGCCCAACCTGATTATAACCCGCAAATTATTGACTTGAACGGAACCCGACTTGAACCCGAGAATGACCCGACCTGATTATAATCCGCAAATTATTGACTTGAACCGAACCCGACTCAAACCCGAGAATGACCCGACCTGATTCTAACCCGCAAATTATTGACTTGAACCGAACTCGACTCGAACCCGAGAATTACCCTAACCCGTTTTAACCCGTTTTAACCCGAATTAAACTTGACATATTGTTCACCCGACCCTAGGGCTGGCAAAAATTGACCCGACCCGAAAACACGACACGAACCCGACCTGAAAATAGCGGGTTAGGGTTGAGGTTTTCGACCCGAAAATTTAAATGGGTTGACACGAACCCGACCTGAAATTTAAATGGGTTAGGTTAAGGTTGAAAATCCCAACCCGAAATTGACCCATATAACCCGAAAAAAATAAAATAAAAAGCCTAAATAGATCATCATACCAGCCCAAATTCAAAATGAGCCCACCTACTAACATAAAAAACCCTAACTCCTCAATTCTTTCTCACTTTCACTCAGCCGTTCTTATTCTCCTCCATTCTCTCTCTTAAATTTTCTCTCTCTTCATTCCCTAAAATCTTCTCCAACCTTTTTTTAAACCCTTAATTTCTATTTAATCCTTGGAATTCTTTTCATCAATCTACACTTCCTTGCGTTATCTCAATCTCTCCTTCATCAATCCAAGGTTGTGTTAATCCTTCGGCGTTTTTCCACCACCATCACATCACGCTTTCTATGCTTCATCAGCCTCCTTCGGCGTTTTATGTTCTTTCTATACTTTCTACCGCTCGATCGATCTAACAACAGCAGGCTGCAAGCATCAACCTCATCGTCATCGAACAATATCTAGATGATATTTCCGCAAATCATTGAAATTGGAGAAACGTTTATGTTTTTTTAGTTTTAGATCTTATGTAATGTAATTTAATTTGGTATTTTATTATCTAATTAAGACTCTTTCTAGAAGGGCAGCTGTTATATGTTTATGATCTACACTTTTAATTTGTAGATGGTATCAATTTGATTATTTATCAATGATTTTCTTTATAAAATTAAGATGTTAATATTTAAAATTGAAATGGGAAATATTAGATCTGAAAATTAAAGTAAATTCAAAATCGAAAAAAATGATTTAAAAAAAAAAAAATCAGGTCAGATTCGGGTTGACCCGAACCCGAAAAAATCAGGTTAGGGTTGAGCTTTTTGACCCGAAAAGTTAAATGGGCCAGGTTCAGGTCAGGGGTATTCAACCCGAAATTGAATTGACCCGAACACGAACCCGACCCGACCTGATCCGTTTGCCAGCCCTACCCGACCCGAATGTAACCCGACTTGTTATTAACCCACCCAACCCAAACCTGATAAGAAGTATGAATCGACGTGACTCGACTCAAGCATGACCCAACCCAAACCTGACCCGCATAGGTTATGGAATTATTCTTAATTGAGTAGACCCGAGTTGACCCGACCCACTCTTACCCGACCCAAACCCGACTCGTATACCTGAATTGACAGCTCTAAATTGTGAACTATCATCCGATAAGGCCATGATACCTTTTAATACGGGTATGATACGGATACGAAAAAATATCTATCTCAAAATAACGGACACGAGTACGGAATGTTAAAATTCATATAATATATTTTGTCATTCCATTCTTCTATTAGAGCATACTACATATGAGGTCACTCATATTATTTAACAATTATCTTATTTATCTTACTTCACTCAAATTTTCTTATTAAAAAAAGTTGAACAGTTCATATAATAGCAGGATACAGTCCCATGAGTGTCCATGTAAACTAGATGTTACATAGTTAAGAGTTGAACAATGTGGTTTATGATTCCAGACCCATGATACAAACAACATGCCAAGAACATGAACGCATAAAATATTTCCTTAACTTCTTATTTTAGTGTTTTTTTTTTTCAGGCACTTCTTATTTTGTCGGAGTGCACAAGCACAACACAAAGTGATAATATTTTTTATTTTTTTTAAAATAAAAATTACAACTTAAAGCATAAAGTATACCATCTTAACTCTTAATTTAAGCGTACATATAAGACCCTTTCATTAGGGCCTTTAGAGGTTGAGAGTATAATACGGATAAATACCACCCTTAAGGACGAACTAACCAGAATCGTTCCCGTAGAGCCACGATGGTGGTGGCCATACGACGACGTCGGAATAGCCTGGATAAGATGCAATAGGACCACTACCACCACCGTCGAAGTGAAAAACATAAATTTCATAATCATCTTGATTATACGACATTTGAATATATCTAGTTTTCCTTATTATCCTGAAAAATATTATACAATTTCCTTTACATCCAGGAAAATCGTTGGTTAAGGCAACGAAGGAGCCATCATACGTGAGAAACAATATCTTATCATCACCTATACCTTTAAGCTTTTCCCACTTCTTTTCCTTCTCATTCACCTTAAACAACGAAAAGTCGACCGACCCTTCCTTCTCCTTCGATCACATAGAAACTGCGTAGAGTTCATCACATGATACGAACAAAAATTTCCTGTCACACATTCTTTCACTCTTAAGTGATTTTACAATTTTCGACATTTCCAACGAATGATAATCAATTGAAAGTACCCTATGGTAGTTATCGATGACATACACTTTCCCTTTAAAATTCACCAAGTCTATAAGCCTTCTTCCCTTTTTCTTGTACTCGTGAATAAACCTATGTCTTTCCCCGTTTCTAAGCCTATTTAGAATTAGACATCGCGATTGAGACACAAGTTCCACAAGTGTATAATCATTAATAGTAGCGCGATTTTCACAATTTGGATCCGCAAACAATACAACCTTATTAGGCCTCGCATAGTAGTTTTGTGAGAGTAAATAAACATAAGATGTATTATCATCCATAACATAACTTAAGGTAGGGAATCTAGCCAATTCCAACACACGATAACGAGATAAATCCAAACATCGTGGAAAATCTCTAGTAACAATATTGGTATCTTCAAAATCGGAATAATAAGTAAAGGGATGAGCACAAAAGGGACGTCTAACATATAGCTTACCGGAGGTATACTCATCAACAGTAATTATAAAAGGCGGGAGTTCGGGATTGACATTTGACCGCAAAAGAATAACACAATTCATACACACGATATAATGTTTAGGAGCATTCTTCGTATCGGGTTTGATTGTAAAATGATGTGGGAAAAGAGGAGATAACATGTTTTTCGAGGCGAAAACTGAGAGAGGGGCTGATGCTCTCCATAACTTACAAACTCGCCGGAAGCTGAAGACATCAGGTTGTGTTGCAAGACGTTTAACAATGAGTAATAAGAGATCTGGTGGTAATTCTGACCAAGTTTTTTGCTGACTATGGTTGCTGCTTTTCATTGGATGGTTTAAAGGAGGTTTAGGGTTTGTGGAGTTCATGATTGATGATTAGGGTTTATGAAATTAAAAGATTTTAGGTGGTGATTAGATTTTTTTTGGAGCATATTGCCATACATAATACCATTATTTATAACTAATTTAAAGAATGAAACTATTCAAAAGAAAATTAAAAGAATGAAAGAATAAAAAATGACAAACGCTACTAAAATTTGAGATTTCAAATTAATTAACAAATACGGAGTATCATTTTTTGATATTATAGGTTTTATTTGTTTATAGAAAAAGAGATAATCTATTAATTAATAATAAATTCAATGGTATAATGAACGAATAAGATAAATGATTTTAGATTATTTCAAATAAATAAAATTTATCTTTTGCTAAGATGTGATACCATTAATGTGATAGTTAAAAAAAATAATAAAAAAAAAAAAAAAATCATAGTGATCCAAATAACTAAACAGTAAACACTGTGCACTATACAACTTACGTCCAGTATTGTTAAAGAGAAAACTTTGAAAGTCAAATCCTCAAATTCATCCCATCCATTGAAAAAATTAGTTAATTTATCAATAACTAACCCACGGAGTTAGGCGGAAATAATGCTACTCCGTAACTGATTCCCTTAAATATAGGGATAAATAAGATATCTAGTACAAAGAATATGATAACTATAAAATATACTGTATTTGCTAAATATATTACGGAGTATAACAAAATGTGAAAGTCAAAACAACATATACGAAGTAAACAAAAGAGCATAAACTCCCCCGTCAAAAAAAAAAAAAAAAAAAAAAAAAAAAACTCCAATGAACATAACCTCATTCAAGTACCAAACACCATTATTAATTCCAAATTAATACTCCCTCCGTTTCAATTTGTTAGTCCCATATACTATTTTAGGCGTTTTAAAAAGATATACCCATATTGAATGTATTCCACTTTTAACTTAGTTTTTATTTCCTATTTTATACATATTAAATTCTTATTGGTTAAATTAATTGATTGTGAATTAATGACATGACTCTAAGTAAAGAAAGCATGCCCTTGATTTATGCAATTATGACTAATGCTTTCCTTAAAAAAATCAAAAAAATTTAGGGAAATTCTCTTTGGTAATCACGAACTTTTATTATTTATCAATGGTAAAAAAAAATTTATTATCAATGGTAATCACAAATAAATGTTACAAAGCCAATGATAACATTAGTGATAATAAAACGATTAACTAGGGTTAATCTTGGTTAAGTAACACTAAATTTACATTAGTACCCTCCAAATGATTTAAAAATACACAAAAAAAATCCAAACCCCGGCCACCCAGCCAACCGCCAGCCCCTTTCCATTGTCGGCGCTCAGCTCGGCCAGGGTGGAGGTGTCTCAAACCACTCCCTCGCCGGAGACCCCCACCGATATTGCAATTAATTAATTTGGAGCTTTATTTAAATAATTTTTAAGGGGGATGTTATGTGTTGTGCTTGTGAATTAGACGTTAATTAAACCAATTAAACAACAACAACAACAACAACAATTTAATATGAATAACTTCTTCAACCCTTGAATTTGAGTGTGGGTGAGGTTGCATTGCGTTTCGAAGGGAGAGGGGTATGGATTTCAGTTGTTTTTGAGGGAGGTGGTGGGTTTTTTTTGGGTTTTGACGGGGAAAATGGTACGGTGAGGTAGGGGCGGGGAAGTGAGGTGGATAGCGGCGAGGTGCAAGGAAGGGAGGTGGGTAGCGGCAGGGGTGCAGGGATGGGAGGTGGCAGCGGTGCAAGTGGCTAGAAAGGGAGGTGCAGTGGGGAGGGGAAAGAGAAAGGAAGAAAGAACCATGGAGGGGGAAAGAGAAAGAAAGAAGAAAGAATTGGTTGGGGGTAAGTGTGTTTTTTTACAGTCCAACACTTAAACCATGATTGTAAATTAACATGTTGTTTAATTTAAGTTACCATTGACTTAGTAATATTAATTCATGATTATCATGATAATCAAAAGTTTCAGATTTTACCACTGAGAAAAAATAAAAGTTCGTTGATTACCAGAGAGAATTTCCTAAAAATTAATTAGGCAAAACTATTTATGAATTATTTTTTACTTTAATGTTAGATTCCAAATATTTTTCTTTTCTTATTTTAAGTGATTGATTCCATGTGGGACTATCTTATTGAAACGGAAGGAGTAGCAATATTGTTTACTATAGTCATGTAATATAAATTCACCGCGTTGACGGCACCATACATTTTTAATTTATCAAAATTAATTGCTACGGAGTATTATTATGTACGGGAGTATATTATATGTTTAAGTTTCTCACCTAATAAAAACGTTTAGCTTTAATAGTCATATTAATACATAGCAGGTAAACATATGTATCTAAAGACTAAAGAGATATGCATTTTTTCAAACAAATTAACTTTGTCTCATCCCTTTCCCTTGCCTCTTTCTCTCAATGTTTCCAATTGGTTTGACAATTCTAAACACAATTGAAATCAATCTAAATACGATGACCCATGTTTATATGTTTCAACTTGGGGTGTTTATTGAAGATAGTAATCCCATGGTTATACTCTTATATAGGGATAACTAAGGACAAGGTCAATGTAAAACGATTTTAGGCTTCGATCATAAGATCTCATAAAATCGAAAAGGGGAACTTTAACCAACTGAACTATCCTTCACTCTCATTTATTGAGCGAGTTAAAGTGATAGCCCTATAATTCTGTAGCTAGAACTAAATATATTAAGCATAGCTTAAATGTATGTATAGCATAACACATATACTTTGTAATTGATATTTTAAGGAACTTTAAATTTAGATCAATTCCCATCAAAAATAAATAAATTAATAAATAAATAAATTAAGATCAAATTACCAATTAAGCATAAATTGTACCATCTTAATTGGAGTAATCTCGAGTAATATATAAGTCAATCCAATGAATGAGTATGAGTGAGGTATAGCTCAAGTGGTTACAGCTTCCTTCCCGATTCTAGGAGGTCCTAGAATCGATTCTCAACTCCGCCCTTGTGGCTCTCTAAACACCAAAAAAAAATGAGCTACTCCAAACATAACATTTAATAAAAACCAACTCATCTAATCTATTTAGAATAAAAAAAAATCGTAATAAATAAAAGATAGAAAAAAAAATAGCCATATTACAAGATCGGAGTAGCCAGGATAAGATGAAATAGGACCACTATCACCACCATCAAAGTGATAAACATAAATTTTATAACAACAACGATGGTACATATTAATATATACATTTCGCGATGTTATCCTAAAAAATATTATGCAATTTCCTTTACATCCAGGAAAATCGTTGGTCGAGGCAACAAAGGAGCCATCAAATGTGAGAAACAATATCTTATCATCACCTATACCTTTCATTTTATTCCAATTGTTTTCCTTCTCGTTCAGCTTATACAACGTAAACTCGATCGACTCTTCCTTTACCTCCGACGGCATCACCATAGTCGACCACATAGAAACTACATAGAGTTGATTACATGATACGAACAGAAATTTGTTGTCACCCATTCTTTCACTTTTTAGTGATTTTACAATTTTCGACGGTTTAAGTGAATGGTAATCAATCCAAAGTAGCTTATGGTAATTATCAATAACATAAACTTTACCTTTAAATTCACCAAGTCTACAAGCTTTCTTCCCTTTTTCTTGGGGTGTAAGTAAAATTATTGTGGCTTTCCCCATTAAACCTTGTTACTATTAGATCTCCAGATTGAGACACTTCCACAAGTGTATGATCATTAATAGTAGCGCGATTTTCACAATTTGGATCCACAAACAATACAACCTTAGGCTTTGGATAGTCGTACGGTTTTTGCCGGTAAAGTTTAAATTGAATTATACGACTACCATCAGGTCCATCACTCAAATAACTAAGAGTAGGGAACCTAGCCAATTTGGACACACGAAATCGAGACAAATCCAATGAAGGTGGAAAGTCTATAAGATTGACATTGCCAAAAGAAGGATAACATTTAGGGACACGAGCACAAAAGGGACGTCTGACATAAAGCTTACCGGACCTATATTCATCAACAATCATCATAAAAGGTGGGAGTTTGGGATTGACATTTGACCGCAAAAGAATAACACAATTCATACACACGATATAATGTTTAGGAGCATAAACCGTATCGGGTTTGATTGTAAAACGATGAGGGAAAAGAGGAGATAAAATGTTTTTCGAGGCGAGAAGTGAGAGAGGGGCTGATGCTCTCCATAACTTACAAACTCGCCGGAAGCTGAAGATATCAGGTTGTGTTGCAAGGCATTTAGCAATGGGTAATAAGAGATCCGGTGGTAATTCTGACCAAGATATTTGCTGACTTCTGTTCATTGGATGGTTTAAAGGAGGTTTAGGGTTTGTGGAGTTCATGGTTGTTGATGAGCTTAACAGATTTTCTTATACTTCGTATGATTTTAGGTGGTGATTTATTGCCACCTATAATACCATTATTTATAACCAATATAAAGAAAGACTTTTAAAAAAAAAATCATTTATTAATATATTAAAGATTTTATTAATAGAAAAAAAAAAAGCTATTTATTAATTTAAGATGATAAAATCAAATGTATAACTGTATAACAAAGTAACAAGATAAAAAATTTTAAATTACTTCAAATAAAATAAAAATTTATCTTTTTTTTTTTTTTTTTTTGATGAACAAAATTTATCTTTTCCTTTTTTTACAAAATTATTTATCTTTTGCTGACGGAGACCTTAATCCAAAAAATATAATGTGATACCAATTTATTCATAATTACGATAATTAAGCATCTCAAATATATAATAATGATGAGTTACATTAGATAAATTTTCTAACAATATTTAATTAGACCATAGAATATTCATTGAAGCTCATTTCAGTTCAGCTTCAATCAAATCAGTTCAGCTCCTAATTTTTCTCTCATAAAATATTCATTTCAGCTCAATTTAGTTTAATTTAGTTCAGTTCAGCTCGGTAGATGTCAACAGATCCTTTTTCCTTTACTTAAAAAAAATTAAAGATAGATC